GAGTAATATTCACGGGTACTCGGGCTGCATGTGTCTAGGGTTACCTTACCTGAGTGCCCTGTAAGTACTGACCTTGGGGCTTGGGGTTATCTTCCACAAGTTACAATGGGGTCTACCTCTGTGGTCTTTTGCTGCTTGATAATTGATCATATTTCATATCCATTGGATTCTCTGTGTGTGTGTTTGTGTGTGTAGTTGGTCCTGTTCATAACGTTCCCATTTGCTGCCGCAGTCTTTTTCGTTCCTCATATTGCTTCTGCTCTCTTTTCCCTAGCTGCTGGTGCTTGGACTGTCTTTAAGGTCATTTCCGATCTCTTTACTTCACAGTGTTGTCCTTTTTAGTATGTGCATATTGGCTATATTAATTTTCGTGCTAGGTTGGACTATGTCCATGTTCAGTTCCCTGATTTTGCATAGCCTCTGTGTTCAATTATGTTCCTGCATTATTTCATCTTCTCCTTGTATGTCACTATCAGCTTCTGGGTTGCCCAGTATGCAGCTGGATGTAGATTCCGTTCGTCCTCTTTTGCCCCTACAGTTTTTTTTCGTTGGGTCAGGAGGTGCTAGGTTTATGGCCCTGGCTCCGGCCTTTTCTTTGTGTTCCCTTCTGGATGGCACATTTTTGTTTTCGTGTTGTTTACGTCCTGGTTAGTTCTCTTCTGACATTACTCGGCTTCACGTGTATCGTTCTGCCCTGCTGAGGCTGGTTGCACCACTCCTGCAGGATTCGGTGTCCCCGTTTTTCGCTTTGCGTCTCGCGTTTTGGCTTGTGGTGCTTACTTCCTATTTGGCCTAGGCCCGAGCCCTCGCTCTTAGGTTTTCGTCACAATTTAGTCCTTGCTATTTGCGGAGTCTGTGGTTCGGCGTTTTTTGCTAGCGGCTTCTTGTTGTCATTCGTTGTTGGACTTGTTGGTCTTTCAGGGGTCCCGGGGGGTTTCTCCCAGACAGGGCATGTCTGCTCGCCCGGGTTGGTTCTTTCCTGGCTTAACCCACCAGTTGACATGTTCCTCATCTCACGATGACACTACTCACGACTCTCGCGACGGGACCACTGCGTCTCCGATCTCCTGAGGAGCTTGCTAGCATTGGGGAGTATTCTGTATGGCAGACGTTCCATCTGGCTCCTTGCGTGCCATGGTTTCTGGCACTGCTTTGCTCGGTGTTCGCACCTGGGGTTTTCCTGCAGCTCCGCCTTTTCCCATGCTCGGTCCAGTCTGTGATGGGGCTGGTTCGGTTCCCTCCTCGAGTCTTCCAGTCTGGTACTTCTGCCTCGAGTCTCTCATCATCTGTCGGTCTTCAGGTGCCCTCGTTGATGGTGTCCTACCTGCGGGCTTCGTCTCGGCGGGAGTATGTTGTTTTTTGGCAGTCCTTCCTTTTACTTTTAGTCCCTTCGTAGGTAGGCTGCATTTTTGTTGGCGTAGTCTTGTTCGTCTCTTGTGGAGGTTCAGGACCGTCATCTTGTCACATACTGTCACTTTGTCTTGTGTGGCGCTGGCGGAAGTGCTCCAGATTTCTTCGGTTTGGTGTTCCCTCTGAACCAATTCGCGAGCTTTTTCTGGTGTGGTTCACCTCCGGCCTGCTCATGTGCCGCTTGAGCCGTCCTGGTCCCTCTATTTGGTGCTCTCTTCTCTCTCCTCCTAGGTTTGTTGTGGCCCCTACGGTTTTGGATTGTTTTTTGAAGTGGTTTTTCTTGTTGGAATTGGTCTTTGGGGGGTCGGGTTGGGAAGCTTCAAGCTCTCTTTTGGCACAGGGGTTTTTGCTCTTTTGGTCGTATGTGTTAGGTTGTTTGCTTGCAGCAGTCTCCATCTCCTCTGGCGAAGAATGAGACTGCTGCTTTCCAGTGGGGCCCTTGGGTTATTGATGCTTGGTTGGTCAGGCTAGGGGTTTATCATGTGTTGTGTTCGTTTGCGGCACTACTTCGTTATTTGCACGCCACAGCTTAGGTGGCCGGGGACGTGCTTTGGGTTGCTCCAGTTCCCCTTCTTCCCTGTTCCCGGTTTTGGGTCTCTCAGGTTGTTCGCAGGGTTATTCGTTCCAGCCAGCCTGTGGTCTATCCCCGTGCCCATGACGTTCGTAAGTTTGCTGCTCTTGCTGCAGTCTTCGGTAACATTTCCTTGGCTGACATTTGTGCACGGGTTTTTTTGCTGTCAAATAGGGTCCTGGCTGCACGCTACCTCACGAATGTTTCTGGACCTAGTCGGGCCTGTGTCGCTTTGGGTCAGCGGTTGCAGCACGTTATCTCGACTTCGATTTAAGATGTGAGCACCGATCGTGTCCCGAGTAAGTCCCTCTAGTGTTTTGTCTTTGTTGAAGTAGCTCCAGGGAACCAATGGGGCTTCCCCAAGAAAATCAACGTTGAATGTAATGAAACTCCATTTTCTTGGTGAGTCCTGGAGGCTCCCTGGCCCCCTCCCCCCGGTCGGCGTTTTTTTTCATGTTTTGACAGCCAGCCTAAGAACTAGTGGTTGAATCACCAGCGTAGTGGATCAGGGGCTCCCCTCCCGGGGAGGGGGGGAGCTGCGCAGACAGGCGACTTGCTTGTATGACGTCATTATTGATTGCTCGTTTTCATTTGGGGAGTTCTGTCCACTCGTTTGGTTATTTATGTTGTTTTAACCAAAATTGGGGTTTGTTTTGAGGCGCATACCTTTCTGGGGGCCTGTCCCGGTTGATGGCAGATACAGAATGCTCCAAATCACATGTGCATTTCTATAGATCATTGCTTCTTGTGCCTCTCTGATGGGGCTAGGTTCTGTCTCATGGTCACTGGTAGGCCTAGAACTCCATCCATACTGACTGATGCCAAAGGTTAGGATGTCCTTATCAGCCTGGATAGCTCTTGGGAGCCGAAGGGACTAACCAGAAAATAACGTTTCATTTCATTCAACTCTGTTTTTTTAACATTTATAACCAGTTGGCTGAATTCTTGTTTAAAATTGACTTCCCCGTTCCTAATCCTTTTGTACCAAGCTCTCTTTCTACATATAAGGTTCTTCAGATCCTTGTTATCCATTTCGGGTCGTTAGTATTCGATCTATTCAATTTATTAGGTATACTACATTCCTGTGCTTTGCTTAGAATATTTTTAAATACGTTATATTTTGAATACACATTGAAATACCTTTTTTATATCACCCAATGCTGGGTTCATATCTCGCTCCAAGACCGGCTCACCCTCCATGCCCAGGACTTTCCAATCTATTTCACCCAAACACTTTCATAAACCATTAAAATCAGTTTTTCTAAAATATGGCACCTTAACAGAATTTTCTTCTACAAATCTATTCCATTCTATGTTAAATCTGATTTCTTTATGATCGATGTTCCCTAGCTCACGCCCTATTTCGATTTCATTAATTTGTGTTTTCCCCATAGCACTAAATTTAAAATATTATTTTCCTGCGTTGGTTCCTTCATGTGTTGATTAAGAAAGCAATCATCAATTATTTTTAGAAATTCTTCTGCTTCTTTATTACCCCTGTTCTGTTAATCCAGTTTATTCAACTTAAATTAAAGTCACCCCATGACACAAATACTGTTTGACCTAGATGCTCTAGATATTTCTTCCCATAGATGCCTTGCTTGCATCCTGGCTAAGTTTGGTGGCCTGTATATAACTCCTATTATAATATTTTTAGCTTTTTCTTTTAATTCTAGCCAGATAGTTTCTGTATGTGGCTCAGTTTTGATTCCCTCTTTGAGACTACATTTCAAATTTTCCCCAACATACAAGGCTACTAAACCCCTTCCTCGTCTAATATATCTATATGTGAAAAATAGTTTATATCCGTTTATTTGATATTCAGGTTCTCTATTTTTTACATTCATCCATGTTTCGGTAAGTGCAATAATATATAAGTTTTTCTGTGCAGACAAGAGCATTTAAATTGTTTATTCTGTTTCTTACTCCTACTATTCGCGTAATATACCTTAAGTGTATTGTTATTTTGAGGCGCTTCTCTTTCTCTGTTCATTTTGCCAATTTGCTTCCCCCACAGACACATACTTTTCTCCATATCAATTTCCATACCACTATCCACATACAGTTTGAATCCAAACAAACTCCTCCAACCACAGGTTCCAATGAGTTGGCAACAGTAACAACCCTAGCTCTAGATAGATGCACCCCATCCCGAGCATACATGTCATTTTTTCCTAGAAGTGTTCCCAGTTATCTATGAATGATATTACATTGAATTTGATATATATGTCCAGTAGGCAATTGACACCAAATGCTTTTGACAACCACTCATTTCCAATTTCCTTTCTTGGAAGAATCCTACAAGTGATCGGGATTCCACGCTTGCTCCTAACTAATTCTACTGCTGTCGTAAACCTCTATATGATTCTCACTCCTAATTCGTCCTACATCATTTCCAAAAGCACTGATATAAATAATGGGTTTGTTTCCATTTTCAGCCATAATATCATTCATGTTGCTAATAATATCATCAATTCCAGCTCCGAGATAGCAAACTCTTAACCTGTTCCTGCTATCTCTGGCACAAAACGTTCTATCCAAGTACCTCACTTGGGAATCTCCCACAGCCAAAATTCGCTCCCATTATTTTGTGAGAACCTTGAGGGACCTGCACTCCTTTCGTTGCCTTCGCTTTCAAGGGACTAAAACCATCTTAAACTATGAATAATTGATCTTTCCCTCATTATCCCATACGATACATACGTTTCCTTCCATTATTCATAAGAAAGTATGGGCGGGTTTTGTTAGTCTGTACTCATGGGTAGGGCTTACTAGCATCCCTACTGCTGCAATATGTTACCAAAAAATATTATCCCATACTCCGGGATATGTTTATAGAAAGTATTGGTCCTCCTGTGGATATGTTAATCTGTCAGTAATATTAACTCTGCTCTAGAATAGCTAATACAAAGAATGTATGTATATATTATGTAATTTGTATTAGTAAATAAAGTACAGTACTGTAATATTAGTTTTTGTTGTAAATACATCTACCTTAACCAAATATTCTTTTCCACAGGATAACAACCCAGAGGAATGCTCAGTGTGTTTTAACGATTATGATGACAATCAGCTACGGCCTCGCACTCTGCCATGCTACCACACATTCTGCTCCCAGTGTATTGACAATGCTATCAAGAATGGTCAGCTGACCTGCCCCAGGTGCCATGCCCGGCACGCTGCCAAAGCTGCTACTCAGTTCCTAATTAGCTATAGTATGGAGGCACTTGTTAGGAAACTCAAAGATATCCAGCGAACACAAGAGAAAACTGAACCAGCAAAAAAGAAGTTACGTTCCCTGGTGCAGGAGCAGAAGATCATCATCAGCAGCCTCACTACTAACTGTAAAGAGGTACTATCCCAGCTGAGGGATTACGGGGGACTGGAAGGGACTTGAAGACATTTTGGAAAAGTCAAAAACACCTCTAAAAGGTGTTAGAGCAATGAGGAAACTTTTTGCTTTAACACCTGGAACATTGTTATTAATAAAGTCAACTGTCATCTTGGTGTTTCTCTACACTGTGGTCAGTGTAGAGAAACAACTTTACAGTACTTATATTTTCTAGTTACAGTACTGTACTCAGAGCCTGATGCTTCATTATAGTTCAGTTACTTTACTCAGAGCCTGATGCTTCATTATAGTGCAGTTACTACACTCGGAGCCTAATGCTTCATCGTGGAAGCATCCGCGTAATGGTGGAACGTCCAGGTTCTACCATTAATGTTTGTGTTGGTAATGACAGGTGTAGGAGAACATCAGGGAGGCCCTGGAGATGATGACCACTGAGACAGGTGCCACAGCTGACCCCCGTACACCTGGGAGACACAGTCTCCACCATTAATGTTTGTGTTGGTAATGACAGGTGCAGGAGACCATCAGGGAGGCCATGGAGATGATGACTACAGAGACAGGTGCCACAGCTGACCCCGTACCCCTGGAAGACTCGGCCTCCAGCATCATGAATAAAGATCAGGATATCACTGGAGAGATCCTCAACAAGCAATTAACAGTAAGGTTTTTATTTTTTCTCATATGTCATATCACAAGATATTGAGTACCGGTTTGAGGAGAGGAAGCCTGCTCATAGGTTTATCGAGGTTCCCCAAGGACAACTACTGACTTTCCTTAACATGAAATCCGCAATAGTTGCCTAACTTCTGGATAAATATTTACTGGTAGGTGAACAGCGGCAACAGCTGAAAGGAAACATGTGACCCCTTTCTGTCCTGCACGATGAATGAACCTGTGATTCACTATTGAACCCGGAATCCTGTCCCCCTCACAGAGGCGCAGAGAGTGGGTGACACTCCACCAACCTACCAGGAAAGCATCCAGGAAGACAGTGAAACAAAACAGATCACTGCTGGGTTCAAAGAGATCGAAGCCTTGAAACTGCCAACAAACTCCCAAAACAATGCCACCACCAACCCCTACTGTCAGTACAGGGGGGCTGGAGCTACAGGACAAGCGCCACCCCAGCCAGTAGAGGGGGCTGGAGCTATAGGTTCAGCACCAACCCCCTGCCAGTAGAGGGGACTGGCGCTAAAGGTCCAGCACTAACCTCCTGCCAGTATATGGGGGGAGGCTCCAGATATAGGTCCAGCACCGACCCCTGCCAGTAGAGGGGGGGGGGGCTGGAGCTACAGGTCCAGCACCAACGATACGGAGGACCATATCTGGCAACACATCACCCTCCAGTGTGTAAACATTTGGGGCGGCCATACTAGGAGCCCCTGAATTGAGGACCATATCTGGCCACATCATCCTCCAGTGTGTGAACATATGGGGCGGCCATACTAGGAGCCACTGAACTTTTAACACTGGCAAATGAGTGATTACCATGAATATTTTTCAGAAAAAAATGTGTGCTATGTGCCAATTCTAAGATTTAGGCTTATGAATATATATATATGTATATATATATATATATATATATATATATATATATATATATATATATATATATATATATATATATATATATATATATATATATATATATATTAGTATATTTTGATAGCAGTCTTTCCTGTAGACATATATTATTAAATATGACCGACAAAGTAAGATTAATAATTCTAACACGAATTTTCTCAATCTTTCGTACATTTATTTTCACTGTTGGTGGTAATTCAAAAATCAATTCTCCAAAATTCATTTTTATTTCTAGTCTGACGCGACACTTGAGCGCGTTTCGTAAAACTTATTACATTTTCAAAGACTTTAGTTAACACATACACAACTGAATAGAACTTACACATCTCCGATTTGTTTATATCTACATTTGAGTGAGGTGGATGGGGTGAGGTGGTATTTAATAAGGTATTAATTTCATCAACACAAGACAGAACACGAAACAATTGGTATTGAATAGAAGTGATTGTAGAAAGCCTATTGGTCCATATTTCTTGATGCTTCTATATTGGAGCGGAGTCTTGAGGTGGGTAGAATATAGTTGTGCATTAATTGGCTGTTGATTGCTGGTGTTGATTTCTTGATGTGTAGTGCCTCGCAAACGTCAAGCCACCTGCTATCGCTGTATCTATCGATGATTTCTATGTTGTTTACTAGGATTTCTCTGGCGATGGTTTGGTTGTGGGAAGAGATTATATGTTCCTTAATGGAGCCCTGTTGCTTATGCATTGTTAAACGCCTAGAAAGTGATGTTGTTGTCTTGCCTATATACTGGGTTTTTTAGAGCTTACAGTCCCCAAGAGGACATTTGAAGGCATAGACGACGTTAGTCTCTTTTAAAGCGTTCTGTTTTGTGTCTGGAGAGTTTCTCATGAGTAGGCTGGCCGTTTTTCTGGTTTTATAGTAAATCGTCAGTTGTATCCTCTGATTTTTGTCTGTAGGGATAACGTTTCTATTAACAATATCTTTCAGTACCCTTTCCTCCGTTTTATGAGCTGTGGAAAAGAAGTTCCTGTAAAATAGTCTAATAGGGGGTATAGGTGTTGTGTTGGTTGTCTCTTCAGAGGTTGCATGGCGTTTCACTTTCCTTCTTATGATGTCTTCGACGGAACCATTGGAGAAGCCGTTGTTGACTAGGACCTGCCTTACCCTACAGAGTTCTTCGTCGACTTGCTTCCATTCTGAGCTGTGGCTGAGAGCACGGTCGACATATGTGTAAGTTCTATTCAGTTGTGTATGTGTTAACTAAAGTCTTTGAAAATGTAATAAGTTTTATGAAACGCGCTCAAGTGTCGCGTCAGACTAGAAATAAAAATGAATTTTGGAGAATTGATTTTTGAATTACCACCAACAGTGAAAATAAATGTACGAAAGATTGAGAAAATTCGTGTTAGAATTATTAATCTTACTTTTTCGGTCATATTTAATAATTTACAGGTCGGAGTACTGGACATAAACAGGCAGGAGAGAATGGTGGAGAGAGGTGAGGTACAATACGTGGACACTGCCGAGGGCCTATTGGTCCATTCGATGCAGCAACCACACACAGGCCCACACATGGATAATCATAGCATAAAATAGTAAATATTTGTTATGAATTAGTGAGATAAATGTGTTCTAATGATCCTACTTAAATCGCCCTTTAATTGATCTATTAAAAATGGATCTAAGTTATATAAAGCAATGCTAATGTTCAAATTACTTTCTTTTGTGATCTGTATCAAAGCAGATTCAATTATGTTTCTGTTATAGGTGCTTTTACAATTCGTTATTGAAGAAGCCATCTCCCAATCAATTTGGTGAGCATCTTCTGACAGATTAACAAACAAAGCATTAGACAATTGGCCATGTCTTACAGAGTAATTATGTTGCGAAATTCAAAATTTCAAATCTTTAGATGTTTGCCCAACATAGAACTTATTACAGTCTTTACAAGGCATTTTATAAATTACACAATTATCACTACGAGGGCTGTTCCTAACTAATAGCTTACCAACAGTATTTTCGTAGCTAAACAATACATGTATATTAAAAAGTTTCAAGGCCTTGACAATATTCTCAAACCCAGAGAAATATGGTAAACATAACACATTCTTTGGGCGAATTCTTTCACTGCAAAATTCTTTCACTTATGCAGTGAAAGAAAGAATATATATTGTGACGGGAAAATGTAGGAGTGTAGATGTTCGGCAGTCTTTCTAATGGCTGGTGTCAATGCCTGTCACATTTCCAAAAAAAAAAAAAGAGACTGCTTGGCTGTTGTCTGTGGTAAAAGTAATGGAAGACACGCAAAACACATAGTATGAACAACGAAACTTTAATTAATACTGAAAACAAAGTTTGAACGAAAGGAATCCCTTGGCTTATGTACAGTACAAACGAACAAGTAAAAAAATATAACATAAAATCTAAAATCAGGAATGACGTTACTCTAAGAATAATATAAAGACAAAAATGACAAAGGTAAAATATAATAATGGTGCTGAGAATATGAGCGCTAGCTTAGAACCTCCACCGATAAACAGGACGTGTATCAGTTAGTTGTTCACAGCTTGAGAGCACATGGATATTCTGAAGTCCATGGCTGGTTCAAGCCCAGACATCGACTCAGGTAGATGGCGCTGAGGTGCAGGTGTGCAGGCGGCTGGTCACCAATCGGAAGCAGGCAGGCTGGGGAATGGCAGTTTGCTGGTTGACGACGGACAAGCCAGCGAGGAGGTAGTGTGGAGTTGGGGGTTTAGGGTACGTTTTGCCTCCTGGTCAAAACGTTTTGTGCTTCTGGTAGACGTATCTTGAATGTAGCATCTTATTCTTGTAGATGTGTAAGTAACTTTATGTAGGGAAGAGCAGGCTCAATCTCTCTTGAAAGAGATTATCTTCACAAAATATTTATATATATATATATATATATATATATATATATATATATATATATATATATATATATATATATATATATATATATATATATATAGATATATATATATTATATATATTATATATATATACATATATACATATATATATATATATATATATATATATATATATATATATATATATATATATATATATGTGTGTGTGTGTGTGTGTGTGTGTGTGTGTGTGTGTGTGTGTGAGTGGAAACAACTAAAAAATCTGAAAGACGTAACAATAAGAAAAGCCGACAAGACAGCAGCATATGTATTGATTCCTACCCATGAATACATGAACAAAATTAGCGACATCCTTAGTGACGACTCCAAATTTCAACGAATCACGAGGAACCCCGTAGAAGACCTTAAGCGGAAAGTAAACAAAACAATTACAGCAATCAACGCAAAGAAAGGTAGTGTGCATTTCAATAAACTTCAAGGGGACTATGGCTTAAGATATGCCTACGGCAATGTTAAGACGCATAAACCAGGTAACCCACTATGCCCTATAATCAGCCAAATACCAACCCCAACTTAACACCTGGCAAAGAAACTCAATGAACTACTAACTCCATACACTCCAAGTAAGTTTAGTCTACAATCATCAGCAGATTTCCTAGAATTGATCAAATCTACCGATGGAATCATCGCATCCCTGGACGTTGAATCCCTTTTTACCAACGTCCCAGTCGACACAACCATAGGAATGATACTGGACAGAGTATACAGAGACGAGAGCACCCCCAAATTAGACATACCTGAGCCTGACTTGAAGAGTCTTCTCGAAGCATGTACAAAGGAAGCCCCTTTCAGCAGTCCACAAGAAGACATGTATTTACAAATAGACTGAGTAGCAATGGGCTCCCCCTTAGGAGTTTTATTTGCTAATTTTTATATGGGAACCATCGAAGACAGGGTCTTCTGTAGCAGACAAAAACCAACTGTATATTGCCGTTATGTAGATGATATATTCGTAATAGTAAAAGACTCAGATGAACTAATTGACCTAAAAAGACAACTAGAGAGAGAGTCAGTACTCCGATTTACACATGAAAATAGTGAAAATAACAGTCTGCCATTCCTGGATGTACTAATAATAAAAACAGGAACCTCTTTAAGCACCAACGTATATACCAAGCCCACCAACATAGGATTATGCCTGAACGGGAGAAGTGAGTGCCCCCAAAGATACAAAGCCAGTGTTCTCAATGCTTATATTCGTCGAGCGCTTACCCACTGC